AAATTTAAAGTTTCAGAAAACCTGCCACTTCTGATTGCAGCTGTAGACAAAACATAGGCTTTAGACATAATTGACAATTTCAACTATGATGAGTACCTGGCCAGGCCCTTGGATTATTTAAATTCCCTGCTTTTCTATTACCAGCTAAGGCCTGAATGATGAGCCTGTTCATGTCATCTAGGGGGAGACATGCGCTGATTTTTATTGCAAAGTAGAATATCTGATGTCCCTGAGCTACACAAGAGCTCACCTTGATATCTATCTCAAATTACAGTGCTGGAATGAGGTTTTTTTATTTTGACGTGTGATGAGGTACACATTAAGAGAAATTTTAAAGGGTTGCATGTATCCCTAGTTCACAAAGCAACACACCTTATTCATATTAAGAATTCTTATGAATAGAAGCAGTCTAAAAGGTTGTGTTGACACTGAGTAACCTAATCAATGCCTTTGCCTCACCTAAACTGCCTCTCTACATATTTTTTTTAAAACTTGTTGACTAAGTAGAATTAGTGATCAATAGAAGTTACTTGCATATACAGATAGATGACAGCTATGTGTTGAAACTTATCCTCAGATGGTTTTTAAAGGGCTAAAATGAGAGTGATCAGATCAATTTGAACATTTGATAGAACAAAGATTTAGGATCTTCATCAAGCTACACTAATGCCTATTGCTTTTTTATTCTAAAACCTAGGTAGACATCTTTGCCTGTAAATAAAGGGATATGTAATCACTTCTCCAGTAGAGTTGCTTTAAATTTGTAATTCCAAAAATAAGTGCCCATATAAGGATAGGGAGTTTGGTAATGTTTGAGAGTTAATGTGCCATAGGCAATGACTCTTGTAGCAAAATCCCATCTCCTGATCTGTGGCCTGAGCGTGCAGCCTAGTGCAAAATTAGATCTCTGGAGTTGCTTAAGTATAGAAGCCTGCAGGTGAAGAGTGGCATAAAGACCATAGGAAACCGTTTCAGCTATTGTGAACCAGCAGAGCTCTGCTGATTCTAGTGTAGCTGTAGCTGTTTTTACTTGTTGGAAATCTAGCCCATGATTCAGAAATACTTTGTGGCCTAAATTTGTGAAACCTCATTGTTTAATCAAACTACTACACTTAGGACATGTCGATAGTATGGAATTACAGGTGCAGCTTTGATACTGTTACACTTTGCTGTAGAGGTGTGCTACATTGGCAGAAAAACCTTTTCCAGTGCTGTAGATAACCTTTGCTGCTGCACTAAAGTAGATTAAGCTAACTGGGAAGAAATAGATCAGTCCTGAATCAAAATGGGTAAGTATATTTCAGTATTTTTATGAGAACTATACAGGCCCCATGCCTCCTGGATTAAAGTACAAGTACTATAGGGCTACGTCTAGACTGGCATGATTTTCTGTAAATGCTTTTAACAAAAGTTTTCCGTTAAAAGCATTATCGGAACAGAGTCTAGATTGGCATGGATGCTTTTCCGCAAAATCTAGATGTGCTTTTCTGCAAAAAAGCCCCCATTGCCATTTTCACAATCAGGGCTTTTTTTGCGGAAAACAAAGTGGGACTGTCTACACTGGCCTTTTTGCGCAAAAGGACTTTTGCCCGAACGGGAGCAGCATAGTATTTCCGCAAGAAGCACTGATTTCTTACAGTAGGAAGTCAGTGCTCTTGCGGAAATTCAAGCAGCCCGTGTAGACAGCTGGTAAGTTTTTCCAGAAACGTGGCTGATTTTTCTGTAAAAACTGGCTAGTCTAGACACAGCCTAGGTGTATGTCCAGGACACCAAGGCGGGGAGCAGGGGGCCTGGAATGCATGTTAGCATCTCCAGTTACTGAGATAAAAGCTTTAAACCTTCTCTCCTATTTACACTTGCTTCAGCTGTGCCGGAGGTGAAGTGTCCTGTCTTGTTGAAGGGGTAACTGCAGGGTTTGTTTGCTTTCTGCAGCAGAATTCTGGAGCCTCCAGGAGAAGAGTGTAGTGAACCAGTCCTGCACAAGTAGCTGCACCCTGGTTCCCGTTCCATTGGTAGGGGCACAGACGGGCTCTCTAGGGAGTCTGTGAGACGCTTCTGCAGCCGCGCTTGCGCGCTAGCCGGTCAGTCCCTGGGCAGCTGGCTCCGCCCCGCCGCCCGAGCATGCGCTCTCGTCCCCATTCGCCTGGACTCCGCGCCTGCGCAGTGGCGTCAGGAGCCGAAGCGGCTGTGGCG